TTCTTTGCATTACAAATTACAATTTTTGAATTACATTTTGAATTACATTGCATTTTGAATTACAATTTTTTTGTGTGTGTAAAAATATTTTTTCTTTGCTGCTCTCATTTCTTGTGTTCTTAGAAATTATGTCAATTTTGCTATGCGTTCACACCAAAGAAAATTTTCTCTGATTTCAGTTTGATCAATTATTTATTTAATCTACAAAAATAAAAAAATCCCTGTTTTGTTTTATTTACAGTTCAATATAATGCCTTCCATCATTTCAAACTTCGACAAGTTTTATGGTCAAGCAATGCTACTACAATTATTCCAATTACTCTACAATATAATGAGTCTCTTGCAGATGTTATAGCTGTTGGCAGTCAAAATAATAAGAGTGCTATGCAATTTTATCGCTGGAATGCAGAATTCCAAAAGTTTCTACACGAAAATCGTAAGTAAAAGTAAAAATGTATGTTTATTATATCGTATTGTTGTTATAAGTTTTGGTATGCCCCACCTGCTCCGGGGAGAAGATATCATACCGTCAGTTGACTTACTATGTCAAGGGAAAAAAAGAACAAACGCCAATTATATTGGGGAAAGAAAATAAGAAAAGGTCAGAATTGAAAAAAATATATAGAGATATGTTAAGGAACCTAAATTTAGAGACAGGAACTTTACCACAATTGGACGAAGTGTCTTTGCTTGCCAGCAACGAACAAACAGAAATAAGATTAAGATTCGTAATTTTCTAGGACAGCTCAGCTACAATTATACATCAAGTGTGCTTTACAGCTACTTTTTTTACGGTTTGCAAATACCGTGCTTCTCTCAACGAACTAACTAGAGTGGTAGGTACTCAATTCATATTGATTTCTGTTCACAGAAGCAATTTGTATAACTATTATGGAAACAAACGCACTGAAGCAGTCACGTTGTGCTCTGTTATTGACTTTTCGGATATAAGTATTCTTTTTGCAATAGGTAAACCAGCGACTAATTATAAATACTTGGGGTTAACAGTGACAGCCCTGGAGGAGAAAGTTTGTTCAGATCACAGAACTCGCTTGCCCAAAATTCGCACCAGTCGGCTTCTTCAAGTAAAGTGGAACCAACTCAGTACAGATATATAACGAAGACATGAAATAAGACTTAGTCTTTTTTATAACGCTTATTGTCGGGGTTGTGACTCTGCAGATGAGATGGAAACTGAACGTCAGTTTACGTGTTAGTGCTCATCATTGAACTATTTTAAATCTTTGATGCTCCCTTTCTAAATGATCTGACAGAGTTACCATCTTATAAAGTTAAAGATATAGCCGTATGGACTCGTCGGAATGGTTTCCTTTTACTTTATTAAATTGGGTGGCCACGCCTTACCAACGAGATGTAATGCATACGCTAGATGATATATGAAAGTTTAAAATCTTTAATGCTCACCCCTTTTCTAAATGACCTGACAGATTTGTGAACTTTTAAAGTTAGAGATATAGCAGCACCTTACCAACGGGATGTACTTCATACGCTAACTGCTTCAGACTTCTACTTTTAAGGCAGTTCTTCAGGTCTGGTTTATACCACATCACCCATGGTGTCACAACGATTCTTGAAAGTTGTTTTAGTAAGCTCCTACTTAGTCCACCTATAGTTAGAGTCTAGATTAAACTATGCACATTAATTTAATGTATAAGCGGTATATAAATTTATCTCAATTTTATTTAAAATCAATTAATCAATACTAGTTTTGTATTTATATTAATAAAAAAAAAGTATAATTTATGTATAGTTACGGAAATGTTTAACATAACGCATGATGCTCATGCTTAAAAACAAAAAGTTAATGCTACAAATAATATGAAACGAGTACGGCTTATGTGCTTTATACTGAATCGTGTTACAGTATAAATTTTTTTATAAATAGATAAATTTATGTGGATAAAAATTTACTGCTCTAATTCCTCACTTTGTATATCAATGATTGAACGTAAAACTGCCAATTCCAATTTAGCAGCAGCACGTTCAGATATACGGTTCATAATATTGGCCAAGTACAATCCTAAAGCCTCGTGCCGTGATGAATTGCAGAGATTCTTAAAGAATGTCGGCGGCAATGAATTGTCAAAATTGCCAAAGTTGATTATTTCAGCTGCAGGATTTGCTGTGTTTATTTTTGTCAAATTAGTTGTATTTATACCTGAACCTACATCAAATATAATATCATTTTTATAATCAATATCCTCTAAGTGTGAAGAAAATCCATTGCTTGATGTTGCAACTGTAGCAGCAGTTGATGAACAGGGTGTATTACCTGATACCAAGCCATTCGTAATATCATTACGTGATGGATTAGCTGGTATAGTTATAAGGTTAATATTATGTGGTTCGGTATCCTCACGCTCCTGTTTCACTTGAACATATTGCGATGTTATCGGGTTTGTTGCTTGCGACGCAGTTTTGGATGATGGGGATATGTTTGTGGATTGCGTTGTATTTAGATTTAACTTCTTCACTTGTATGGCATTCTGCTCTTGTGATAATTTACGTTTTAACGATTCTGGCATTTGAATCGTCTTGCCAACTTCAAGCAAACCCATTCGTCCTACAATATAAGAGCAAATATTATATAAACAAATAAAATTTGTAATGTTATAAATGGTAAACTACCGGATGAATTTTTAACTTGCACACCAGTTGTTGTTGTTTGGGCTTTTGATATAGCTGCAGAGCTTACGGAAGTTTTCTTCATGGTTATACCTTTTTTATTTAAGGCCGCTACGGTAACATTTGTTGTTTGTGACAGTGGAGGACGTGGTGACGATGAAGCCATTATATTTAAAAGTTTTTTCTCTTCAGTTTGAGATATTGTATTTGTATTGCTTGAGCTGGCTGGAGCACTTGTAACAGAAAACGATTTAGTTGTATAAGATGAAGATTTCCTTTGTGGCTTTTCATCTTTTTCAGGAGATTTATTGCCATCATTTACTTTATGCTTTGACGTTTCATTATCTGAACTAGAACCAGTATTATGTGATGTATTTACAGGTTGTTCTTCGTCTTCTTGAACTTCAAGCATTTCGTATTCTTCGTCCTCTTCTGTAGCTGTGCCTGGATCTCTATTATATGAAAGAAACAATAATTAATAGATTTTTTTTTTTTGAATGATTTAAGTATCTATAAACTATTCATTTTTAAGGTCATTTTTCAATATCATGAATAACATAACATATATAATATGTTATATAATATTTGTAGAATTTTCTTCTTTTATAAACCAAAGCTTACAACTTTATTGTTAAGTGGTCTCATTAAGAAAGTATAAGAATTTATTTAAAAAAGGATGCCATACAAATTACTTAATGGAATATTAATTAATTAATAAACCGACTGTCACATTATCTAACTTTATCTAATCTAAAACTTGAAGACAACTTTATTGTTAAGTGGTCTCCTTAAAAAAGTATAAGAATTTATTTAAAAAAGGATGCCATACAAATGACCCAATGGAATATTAATTTAATCAATTAGGTATATGAAAAAATAATGCCCTAAAATTGAATATTGGAGATAAATTTATAATATAAGGTTGCGTTGTTTTTTGTCGGATTCGAACCCCAGAATTATACAACAAAAAAAATTGTTGTATAAGTGAAGGGTGACTGTCGATTTAAGCCCACTTAGGACATTATTGTGAGCACATAATAAATAGTAAACGATCGATCATAATATATTTATATCAAATGTGTGGTAATCACAATAAAAAGACAAAACTACATGGTAACAGAAGTAACCGGATCTGTTTTTGGGGCCACTTGTCAACACAGACGATCCACTGTCGTTCACTTTTCGTGTCACGATTACTAGTGCCAGAGTTCAGTTTACTACTCAAGCCAAACTTACAAGAAGGCTACTTTATAATAAAAAAAACTTTGGAAGATAAGTATATCTAATCTAATGTAGTAATCGCTTAACCCTGAGATTTTCTTCAAGGAATTCTTAGTTTACTTACTTACTTTCTTACTTTATAATTAACAATTTCTTTACTTAACATAACTTACTCATCGTGTTTTTCTTCTGGTTTTTCTTCAATTTTGGTGTGTATGATTTCCATAATCTTAAATAATTTCCATGATGATGTTGGTTTGACTCTTTCCTGTTCATATTTCCTTTGTAAAACCTTAAAAATTGATCGTGCTTCGTGTACTAAAAAAATATATATAAAATTAAAATTGATTTAATAATAATAAAATTATTGTTTTATGTAAAATTAAATTTTAACGGAATGTTTTTTTGTGTAATTTCAAACAGACTCTATAAATCTATTTTCTAATATTTACATTATTAAGCAACGCCATTTAATGTTTTCTACATTAAACTATTTATAATATAAAAACTTGTCAAATACTATCATATTACGTATTGGGTTTTATTTTAGTATCGCAAATATACCTGATAAAACATTTTTTTTGCTAACACGCGCCCAAGCGTCATCAACTTCTTTTTTACTAGGGGTAGGATAATTTGGATGAAGAACTTTTTCTTCCGAGATGTCTTTTAGAATTACGTCAAGTTGTATTGGCATTTTAATAAAATTTTAATTAATTAACATAAACTAATAAATTTATACAATTTTGAATGAACTTATTAAAATAATAAAGTCTAACTTTTTTAAAAAGAATTGTTAAACTCCGCAAATCGCTTTCCACTCTTCTTTGCAATGTTAATTCTTACATTCATTCGAATTGCCTTTTTGTATATGCAGACGCGCGGAATGTTGAGAATGAAACACAAAAGATAAACAGAAACAACATAATTAACATTTGATAAACATTGATATATATTCATTGCACTCATACGAATATTATATAAAAGGAAATAGCAAAAGTTTTGGAGGGAAAATTGTAACAGAAATTAAATATTAAAAATAAAAATTTAATGCAATTTCAAAATTAAAAAAATCTATATATAAATAATGAAAATAAACCAGAAATAAATATATATCTTTAGGTACAAATACATCAAGAAAAATTCATTCAATTCCCTGAAACATTGCACATGTAAAAATGACCATTATCTTTAGAGTAATAAAATATTAAAAAAATCTAATTAATGATTCACACTTTGATATATTTTAAGAAATTATTAAAATAAGGCAAACTGATAATACTACTTAGGGTTGAGATATGTTAGGATATACGTTTTCTTTTTGCACGGTGTAACTGAAGTTTTATCATAATATATAATATTTATTGTAAAAAAATATATTTATTATGATATATATCGTAATGAATGCAATGTTATAAATAGATTACAATATTAAATTTGTTATTACCGAATCTTGTATTAAACATGATTTGACTGTGGACCAATTTGAGATTTGTTATTAAATTTCAAAGGAAAGAATATATAAATAATGCCTCTACAAACAATAGTATTGAAATTAACCACTTAAAAATTAAAAAATATAATTAATTCAATTATTCTAACATACAGCTAGTTTATGATTTCCTTCTAATATAACACAGCAAGTGAATTCGTTAATGAACTTTTATAGCAAATTAACTTCAGAAAAATTGGTTAAGGAGTGCTGACTCTGAGCTTCAAATTTGGCAGGACACGAGTTCGATTCCTGATACTTGTAGTGTCAAGAAATTATTTACGTATAATTAAATACAAGAATTATTTCCAAGACCGCTGATGATGTGTATTTGGCAATACTCGAAACAGCTGTATGGTCACCATTAAGGTCCAATATCTGAAATTTGATCAATTTTGCTTTCCTAAGCAGTGGTTTTATTACAAATGCAAGTCGCACATTGTGGCTTTCGATGCTTTCCACATACAAAAAAAAAAATTCATACTTAAGTTAATTTTGAACTAAAAGTTGCAAAAAAATATATTACTTTCAGTCCCTGTATATCGCCAATCAATCTATATAGCGTAATAGACAAAGTTGCTCAAAATAGTGAAATTAAACAAGATCTGTTATAAAATTTATTTATGTAAAAACTGAATAAGTTTGTGTATAATAAATTGAAAAGTTTAACTTGAATATCTATTTCGGAGAAAAATGTCATTCTGAGTAACTTTTTTAACTACGTTATATGACGATATCGTTTCCTATTTCGGGCTTTAGTTGTATATTTTTACGTGTAAAACAGAATTTATATGTTAGTTGCCTCTAAATGTTTCGTTTAGTTGTTGTTCGTGTTATTAATGTTAAATGTTTATAACTTTAAAGTCCGGAATCTCTCGACCCAAATGAAATCGACATATAGGGCAGCTGAAAAAGTTACTCTGAATTGCGTACTATAGAAAATTGGTTCTCGAAAAGGTTAATCCAACTATTAATTTTAAATTTATTGTTGTGATAAACCGCGGATTTATATCTGCATGATCTATATGGCAAATAACATGAAAGGAATTACAAATACCAATACATGGGTCAGAATATAATTGGGTAATTATACAGTATATTTTTTTCTCTGTGCTCAAAACTCCACCTTCTGTAACTTTGTCACTGTCACGGCCTCATAACCATATCATAGTTACAAAACCATGATATAAATATATAAGTATAATCCTATTATATTATAGGATTATACTTTAACTTGTCTGTTAGATTATTCCTCTAAACCGCAATTAAATTAATACATAAAAATGACACGAAACTAAATCATGCACAGTTTGGATTATAGTAACTATACAAGATTTGATTGCTCTTAAGTAAAATTAAATTTATTTTATTAAATTATAAACAGTAATAACTCAAAACTTAATTATTCTCACTTTAATTCATGCTTCCTATATATTGTTTCTTCAGCACATATTTTATACTCCACTCTAGTATTTCGTGCCCCATTTGCAATTGAAAAGGGAAACTTTTCCATACCCATACATGCGGCAGAATAATTTCCATAACGATCAGTAACTACTAATGCACCACTAAATTCTGGATAGTAACGTACTATACGATTAATTGCATTTTGTGCCGCTTCAGCTGGACTACGACCCATACGAAGCCCCTCCACAGCTATTAATGCGGGTAAAAAACGCATCATCACATCACCGTCGCCAGTAGCAACAGCAGCACCTACTTCATTATCAGCGTAGGCACCAGCACCTGGTATAGGAGAATCTCCTACACGACCAGGTATTTTATGTCGTGCACCATTTGTGGAAGTACCAGCATATATAGAGCCTTCAGTATTTATGGCAATCATACCAATCGTATCATGATTCCAAGGTCCAAATTCCAAATCATAACGCTGGCTATCATGTAAATTTCCCAATATCAGAGGTAGCGGTTTATATGGACCACATTGTTTACTGGGATTTGGTCGCACATTTTGCCAAAAATTCGGTTGACATTTAGACTTACGCCATTCCTCCCAAATAGCTCTAGAGTTTGGTGTTGTCAAAGATTCACGTTGAAAACCCATCATTTCAGCAAAATTGCTAGCTGAATCACCGACAAGTAAAGTGTGACGAGTATTTTCCAAGACGTTTCTTGCCACACCAATAGCATTTTTTATTTGACGTAAACCAGCTACAGCACCTATATTCATTGTTTCGCCATCCATTAGCATTGCATCAAGCGTCGTCTCACCATTCTCATCTGGAGAGCCTCCATAACCAACAGTGCCATCACATTGTAATTCTTCACATTTTCCACAACCAGCAATTACCGCATCAATTGATCTGCCTGTATTTTGTAGCGCCTCCCAAGCAGCTATATTAGCTTCCTCGAATGCCCATGTATTTATTACCAGCGGCAATTTTTGCTCTGCTCGGATTTCTTTCAAACACAAAATCAAAATATACAGCAAAAATACAATATAATTTGTTTTCTTCAAATGCTGTAATTTCATTATCACAATTTTTTCTTTTTATTACATTTAATTTAAATTTTTTTTTTATTTTCTTTAAAAATAAAAACAATTTTGTTTTTGTTTTCTTATCAGTTTTGTTGCTGTCATTTATCAATTCTCTTTCAAATTGTTTTCTATTGTTTTTTACACTTTGTCCCGCTAAAAACAAAAACTACAAACAATTTTTAAAATTTTTGCTTCTAGAGCTGTCAGACTCTGCTCAAGCGGATAAGCTGGATAAACTGTGGAGCTTGGGATTTCATGATGCTGATTGTCTGTTTGCCATGCATGATTATGTGCAAAATGAAAATATTAAAGAAATAAAAATATCGAATAATTTTACGGAATTATTAAAGCAAAATAAACAATCTTTAGTCTCACTCTCACTGGCGGAGAACACTTGCTTTGCTATTTACAGGGACGAAACTCAGGAAGTGCTTATAAATTGTTTAACCATTGATGGCAATGGAGCAATAGAAATTTATACCAAAGAAGTCATACAGAAAACTGGTGTTAAACAAGTAAGATTTTTAATAATATTATAATATAAAAATAATTGAAGTTACTTTTTAATGAGATCCACAATGAGTGTCCAATTAATGTTTTTATTTTATTTTATAATAATGTTTTTTTAGATTTTACAATTAAATATTGATAAGATTGCATTGCTGCTAAGTGAGACTATAGAAATTTGGAGCGTTAAAGATGGCATGATCCTAATACAAAACATATCTGTCATGAATCCACAACAAATTGTAAAAAACACCCACAATAATGTGCTCTATTTAGCTGCTATAGAAGCACACACAACAAACACTTCACAAGAAGGTACCATTAACATTTTTAAGTGAGTATTCATTAGTAGTATTTTTATTTTTGTCACTAAAAATTATTTTCCATTTAAGATCATTGAATGGTTCAAATTTTGTTGATTTACAAACGTTAAATTGTGTGGAACCACAACAAATTTTATTCTCGAACAACAAAGAATCGAATGATCTCATCTTATATGTACTTAGAAATGCTACAAATCCAACATTAATAGCTTACAAACTTAAAGATGATGTTGGTTTTAAGACGGTACTTGGTGTTTACATGTTAAACCCAGCCAAACAGCTGCAAAATATTCAATTTACGTTAGATCCGAAATATCTCATCGCATTATACGGAAAAGATGATATAACTATTATTGAAGCAAAGTTTGGAATTCTTTAATTATGTATATACTTTAGTTGTAAATAATTTATATAGTATATAAATAATTCATAATGTAAATATATTAAATTGTAAATAAATTTTGAAATTTATTATAACTCCAGTTAAGACTATTCAAGTCACTCAACTCAATTAATAATAATAATTAATTTAATTTACTTTCTTAATATTAGAAATAGTTAAGTTTTTGAAAAATTACCGTTCCACGCCGGAATATTTCTAATTTATATTGTGATTCGTATTAAAGGGTTGGTAAAACTGAAGAACTTATATTCTTATTGAAAGCTTTAACTGGAACAAGTTAAACGATTCATATATTTAAGTCCAAAAAACAGTTCTGAGTTTCGAAGTCAGAGATGAATATTGACAACAAATTTTCGCTCACCACTTCTGCCTAAATATTAAGTTCACAAGGAAGGAAGTTCTACCAACTGATGCACACCGAAATTTTATACAATCTACTAAATATATTTTAATTAAATGCCATGGTGTTTAGACACAATTGGATCCTATAGTAGCTTTAATCATCCTTAGAACACTTTTGTAGTACATATTAATGAAAGTAAACAACAGATCATTGTGTTTTTGAAGTCTATAATATATTAATATATCTGTAATATTATTTCATAAATCTGTAATATAATTCTTCAATATTTTTCAAACGTATTACACTGACTATTAAATATTCTATACGTAGTTATCTCATTAGGAAGCTAATTCAACTCTAATTTATTAACACCAACAAATTAATAAACGCTGAATTCTATTATTAACTAACAATTTTTTAAGGGAATCCAGTAAAATATATAACCTATATATAATTCAATCAGTCACAGTCTAAAATACAAATCTATAGTCATTTTGTTAGATTATATTCTGGAAAGAAACAAAATATTACCCACAAAAGGGCAATGGCTATAGATCGATACACTAGCGAACACATACAATAATAGTAAGAGAATAAGGAAAATTGTTATATATGGTAAGTATTCTTTAGTTAACTTCATTTCAATTAGTATAAAACCACCCGATTTTTAATTGTTAGCATAACTTATTTGATTCCAATCTCAAAATAAAAAATAAAATTTTCAAGAAACTACATTTGTTTCTCCTCAGATTATTAAGTATTTTGAACAATCACAGATGGTTTAAACGTGGACAGAAGTATTTGTTATTAAATACATTCATAAGAAAAATGTTTCTGGCACAAACTACTCACATACACACAGCACTTTAACACTATTTAAGAAAACTGTAATTTACTTTCCAATTAAAGTGTAATTTTTATTAAAAATTAATTAAATCCTAAACATTCACGATGTTTAATCATCGCTGGATTCAACATTTTCAGTTTGCAGAGTTTTGAATGAAGCAACTGGTACATATGTAACCAAGGTGTACAATTTGTTAGGTGAATCCTCATCGTCGTTTCTTCTGCGGGCCAAACGTACACGTACACGGAATGGTGTAGAGCTAAAGACAAACAAGAAAAATAATTACCATCTAAGCAAAATACATAATATTAACAAAATATATTTTAACTTACCGAATACCCTTGGACCAAATATGCTTGTTTAGGCGAGTATCAATTCTGACATCAGTTGTGCCCATTTCTTTTTCAGCAAATTTACGAATTTCCTTAATGGCGCGTGGTGCCCTCTTTTTGAAACCAATATTGTGGACACGCTTTGCCAAGTGAATTGTACATTCGCGGGTCACTACCTCATTGATAGCAGACTTATTACGTTTTTCTCCCTTTGTTTTGGCCATTTTCTTTAATTTTCAATTGCAGTTCTGCTATTCAATATCCTGAAATAAAAATAACACAAAATTAACAATTATATAGATAAAACTTACAACAATAAATTGTTTAAAACAAAATTTCCACTATGCTTCCTTTACATGTATATCTACCCAATATTCGCAAACTAAAACACAACACTTGCTCAGAGATACAGATAGAAATTTTAGTATAAAATTAGTGAGCATTCTTTTAAGTAAATAAAACTTAACAACTTTATATTCAATATAATGGAAATTCTGTGATGTTTTAAGATTTTATAAAATAATATTTAAGAAATCCAACCTATCGGAAATGAAAGCCTGACGTAAAAGAGGTTGACGTGAGCTGTCAAATATTTACGCCATCTTCGTATCATTTTCTTAACAAATTTAAGGCGCCATCTATGTGAGAAAATTTATAAAATATTGACAGCTTTTTTAATTATTCATTATATTCTCGAGAAAATAACATTTAGTTTATATAACAATTTTTCAGTATATAAAAAATATCAGATTTTCTCGATGTTTGGTTAAGTTAAAACTGAATTTTTGTAAGAATTCTGTATTGCAAATTATATTTAAAATAATATTATACTTGTTTTCGAAATAGTAAAGTTAACGAAATTAATTAATAACAAAACTTATATTTAAGTTTATAAATAAAAAACTCTTGTTCAACGTCTTATTAATATAACAATAAACATATTTGTTTATAAAATATAAGATAAGACATGTTTTTCAATAGTATTTATTGCTGCGTATTGCTACTATGAAGTAATCTCTTCATACAGTACAATTCATGGTGATTTTGTTCGTTCGATTTTCCATAACCACTACTACGACTGTCTTGTAATTTGTACAAAGTCCAGTTGAAATTAAATTCATAATCCATTATAAAACGATTTTGCTGCGATATAATGAATAATACGTTCAAACTTAACATATCATATATCATAACATTATGATATGCTGTATGCACATTTTTTTTGCAAATCGAGTCTATCTATCAAAATTACGTTTACATCGATTTATGTCTAAACGTTTTTACTTAATTTAGTTGATTTGTCTTTTTTCTTAGACCTCTTCTACAACAGTTTTGCATAAACTTTGGCCATGTGAACAAGTCTTAAAGCATACATTATTAATTTGTTTGGTTGGCAATAACATTTCAATAAAAATTCAATTGGAGTTGCCAACATAAATATTCATAGAATAAAATTTAACAAACCAAAACAAAAAGATGTTAAATATTTGTAAGCAAAACTTTTTTGTAAATAAACAAAATATTTCTCATTTATAATCATTATTTAGTGTTATTGGTAATTGTTGGTCTATTATGGGGTGCCACAAATCCATTCATACGCTTGGGCAGTCAAGGCATTGAACAAATTAATACCGGATCGAAATGGAAAAATTTATTGCTAGAGTTAAGAATGATAAGTATGCGTTTGAAATACTGGGTGCCGTTCCTTCTTAATCAAGCCGGCAGCGTATTATATGTGTATACATTACAGGACACTAGCATAACTGCAGCAGTTCCAGTAGCAAATTCACTGAGTTTCGTTTTTACAGCAATTACTGGTTATTTGTTAGGTGAAAAGATACCAGGCAGAAGTACGTTTTATTTAGACACTTTAAATTTATTATTTTTAATTAATTATAATTTTTAATTGCAGAAGTTGTAATTGGTACTGTTCTAGTATGTTTAGGTAGCTCTATAGTGCTATATGATAAACTTCGAAATGAGCAACAGTTAATTCAGTGATATAATGGGAGAACAATAATTTCGTCAAAGCATTTAGCAATTTCAATTTGAGATATTTTATTCCTAAATTAAACGTAGCGATTAAGTAAAAGGAGTTAATATTTAATCAAACTAAATATGTGATATTAATATAGCTGCTTTTCATTGAAAAGTTATAATGCTAAATTAAGATGTATACCATATATCTTATACTTATAAAGTATGAAGATATATCTAAATAAAGGAAATATGATAAACGATCAATTAACAAAACATAATGCCATCTCTATATTTTCATTTATATTTAATTATTCAGCATTAAGCAGTAATGAATATGAAGGAAATATTTTCTTTTGGAATATTTATTCTTGAAAAAACTGTAATTCAAAATTTAAAAAATTTTAATTATAATAATTTTATTTATACATATCTCTACAGTTATGACTACCTAACGTATCACAAAAACACATTTTATTAAACAATCGAGCATTTTATTTAAAATACCAATATACCAATAAAAGATTTTATTTCAACTACAACGCTTTGTGTACTGCATCAACTAAAACTTCCATGCTAACAATTGGTGTTTGAGGTGTAATACCATGACCAAGATTTGCTATGTAACGTGTCTTGCCAAATTTACGTACCATATTCGTTACCAAACTGCGTATTTCTTCCGGCGTCTTGTACATATCTTGAGGATCAAGATTGCCTTGTAATGTTATATTAGGTCCTACTTCTTTACGTGCTTCTTCAGGATCTACCGTCCAGTCTAGACCTATAATATCGTAACCAAGTGCAGCTTGTTCTTTCAAAGAATGTCCCGCTCCTTTAGCAAACAATGTCTATAAAAAAATGCTTATAATAAAATATTTAACATATTTTGTATACATTTATATACCATAGGTACTAATGGTATGGACTGACTTGTTAAGCGTTGCGTTAATTTATCATGTATATCTTTTATATAAGGCACAGCTATATTAAGAAAATCTTCCTTTGTTAAATGTTCTGCTGACGACTCAAATACTTGTAAAAGCTGTGCACCTGCTTTCACTTGCATTTCTAAATAATCCACAATTGCAGTTGTCAACATGGTAAGAAGTTTTTTCGTATCTTCTGGATAATCTGTTAGCCAAGCTTTTGCTTTAGACATTGTTTTACTACCACCACCTTCAATCATATAACCCATTAATGTCCACTATTAATATGAAATAAATATACAGTAATTAAAAAAAATAAATTTATAATTTAAATATTTTAAGCATACAGGAGCACCAGTAAATCCTATCAATGGTACACGACCATCTAGTAAATGTCTCATCATAGTTATTGCATCCCCTACATAACTCAATCGATCTACGGCACCTTCGGGTTTTAATTTACTTAAATCTGCTGGAGTTTGTAACGGTTCAGGAAAAACTGGACCCTGTGGTAATATCAGTTAAAATATACAAAATAAAATTTATTTAACTTATTACACGTACCACTCCAGCATGCATTTCAACAGTCATTCCAAATGCTTGCGGTATTACAAGTATATCGGAAAATATAATTGAAGCATCCAAATCGAAACGTCGCAGTGGTTGCATTGTCACTTCGCATGCTAGCTCCGGTGTGCGGCAAACTGTGAAGAAATCATGTTGTTTACGTACTTCTTGAAACTCTGGCAGATATCTTCCAGCTTGTCGCATGACCCATACTGGGACACGATCAACAGGTTCTCCACGTGCAGCTCGCAAAAGATTGTCATTCTTAAGCGGTGGAAAATCCTGAAATGAATGTATCGCTTTCAATATCTACTATGTACACGTTTAAAAATTGAAATGTAATTTGGTACATGTAGAATATTCAAAGATAAAAATATCGCTCAATATAAACAAGTGTAATTTACAGAAAATATCCATTTTTCATTCAAAGTTCGTGATGTAAGTAATTCATTTCAATTCACCAAATGCTTGCTTTTTTATTTTTTGACTCGTCTTTGGTTTTTACCTGTGTATTTTTCATTATATTCAAATAATATTTCTTCAACCGAATTAAAAAATAGGCGAGTTCTTATTGATGAATTAAATTAATTTTAATTAACAAGCATGAATTACAAAATTCTTGTTTTTTGCATGTCACTTTGAAGATTTTATCAATTCTCTTTTACTGATATTCGTTAGTAACTTAGCCGCAACAATAAAATTGTTTTTGCTTTGTTCTATTTTGTTGTCTCTTGCATTGTTTTTTGCCGGTATAATTTTTTATGAAAATCTAAAAAATTCTCTGGTAGCCAAAAATTGCTTTCTATTTTAATATAATTATATTAATTTTACTTAATTTAATTTATTTTAATTTAATAAACAAACATTTTAGCAGCGAGTCGTATCTTAAATGCAAAATTTTTCTATAGTTTGTCTAAATTTAACTATTAAATTTAACTACATATAATATAATAACTAGAAAAATATAAATATTTTCTGTACTAATTAAAATTCCCTTTCTTTCTGTAGTTTTAATTATAATTAGAATAACTAATCAAATTAAAGTAAACTGAATTTTGTTTTTGACCGCAGAACACAAGAGTATATATGTATCTAAAAGTTGTTTCATATATTAATCATGATTTTTTATTATGCTTATCTTTATTTTAATATATTATTTAATAATTACTAAATTAGTAATTTAATTATTGTTGTCATTTATTTTGAAATCTTGAAATAATGAACTTGCATAAATTTAATTATTAATAATCAATTGTAATTACGACCAATTTACAATAACTTGTTTAATTTTCATCGAGCTTAGGTCGTTAATTTAACACTTATAATTTATAATTTATATATAATAATGTTAAATATTTTTGATTACATACGTCATTTTCTACGAAGATGATCTACGAAGTAAATGGATAAATATAGCTGTATATTTATTAAAACAAACTTAAAAATTTAGTTATAATTATAGAAAGTAATATAGTTACTTTTTTTTTGGTAGGTGGAAAGTATTTTAAGCCACAATGTGAGACTTGAATCCAGTAAAACCACTTGTTAGGTAAACAATACGGACATATTTCACAAATTGGACTGTAATACCAGTTTACACTTGCTTCGTTTACACAGTTTTGCTCATTAAGATCGTTAATTTACGATACAAAAAGTAAAAATAAGTTTATAAATAAATCATCTGATTTAAGCGATAATTGTCGAATGCAACCAAATTGCCAAAATTTGAAATATTTCTCATATGTTTTGTATGTGAAATGTAAACAAAGAATCTATTTCACATGCATAATTCAACTTATGTCAATAAAAATTATCAAATCTTAATTTTAGTAACATAATTAGTTTTAGGTGCATTCATTATAAAAAGCTAAAACTCTATTCCAGTAATCAAGAGAAAGACAGACATTGAAAGGATTAATATTTAGACAATTAAAATATCTATGCCAATATGCAAAACAAACGAGGGGAGGAAGGGAGAATGTTTTTGGTACAGGTAGTAATTACTTCTAGTGGTGAGAAAATGGTAGAGTTGGATTAGAGGAGAGAACTTAATTTCTTGCTTGTTAATGAATTTGTAGTCTCATTTTATACAATAATAAAGTAATGAATAATAATAAATAAATAAAATTAGCGTAATAATCTACAATTTATTAAAGAAGTATTTGTTTGTGCTAATAATTCAAGTTATTTCATTATTATGAACCTCAATAAAATTTTCATAATGTTTTTGTGATAGTCTGGCAACGTTATTTGAGAAAGTATTGAAAAAGCTTAAAAATTAAAAAGTTTTAGCTATTCTGTTGTTATTCATATTTCGTATTTGCGTCGTAACCGGAAAACTGATTTAAACAAAACAATAAAAAATATGAAACAACTAAAAATCATTGATAGAACAACATAAAAGCAAAATAAAAAAATTAGTTTAGGTGCGAAGAGAAAAGTGAAACAAAAGTGCAGTCGTGTCAACCAAATACAGAGAATAAGTTGCTTAATTTTAGAGTTTTAAGTAAAGTTAACAGGAACCGTAATAATAGGTAATTGGATATTTTTTTTTAAATTATATTCTGATTTAATTTAATATAATTGTTTTTTTTTTTGAAAATTTTAAATGATTAGTATTTAATAAAATCTATTAAAAATGGCTGATGAACAACCCAATCTTGTTGCTGGACACCCACCTGCAGGTAAATTTTTCTTTGGCTAAAAAGCTGGAATTAAGAATATGCGCCTTATTGCGTGTTATTAATTTAAAAAAATATTTTTTTTTATTTTGTGTATTTGTATAAATATTAAATATAAAATTAATTTTATATATTTTATACTTCTATTACTGAAATATATGCATATTATATATATATTTAAGATAACATCCATCCATTTTACTCCACGTTTGCTATAGAATTATTTAAAATGATAAGCAAGAAGTGATTCTTTTTTTGGTTATTATTATCATACTTTTATTAATAGTCAGATTAAGTGACGTCAGATAATGTTTGTGAAGTGTATAATAATTTGTTGTTATGCTTTGATGTAATAAGTTACAAATTGATCAATTATATACTATGAATAAAATTGTGATTTTTTGGAAATTAATTAGTACTTTTTCACAACGTTTATTAAAATGAGTGGAAAGATTATTTCACAATTTTTTATAATAAAATTTTTTAATATAAATTTAATGTAAAAAGAATCTGTTATTAATATTTGTTTATAGATCTTTAAGCATATTTTTGTTTTTAAGAAATTTACATAAATTTTTTTTGTAATAATTTGTAAATGTCTGCCAAAAGGAAAATCAGAGTTTCTGTAATAACTATTCAACGCAATTAATTGTACATTAATTTGGTATATTAGTATAGGTTTCCCAATCGGGAGCGTGGCAGTTGCTCGTCAGAATAGATGAGACGCTGTTGTGTTGTATCTGGTTGGGAGCTAAAAAGCATATAACATGTAAGGATTACAAGACGAATACATAAATTGGGTTGTAGTTGGGTAGTGCTTGGTGTAAGGATAGGGAGGTAGGAGAGATGAGACATATACCTTGCTGCTACTAGCTAGGTTATTATTGTCATCCAATATACCCAATAACGTTTAATAAACAATTCTGTAAGAGCAAGAGTTTTTAAAATCATTTGAGCCTTTAATACAGTCAAAGAAACTTTTAAAGAAGAGGTCTTTTAGCTTACTAATTTCTTCTAGAACGTAAGTTCCTAACATGTTTAAACTGCTTTTTCCATACCCTGAACAGTAAGAAGGTGAATATGAAGTTCTTTCTTAATCTGCATTACTCCTATGGGTTGAATAATCGGGTTATTTAATCTCTTTAATTTCTTTAGTATACACATTAAATAAATACAAACTATACAGAACTATTTAAAAAGATTTCAAAATTATTTTTTATATTTAAATGACCAAATTGTGTATTTATGTTTGTGTATATCGTTGAATCTACTCCTCTTATCCGTTTACGTTAGCATATTAGTGAAATTATCTTGTATGTAGTTCTTCTATACAGAAAGATTTCAACAACTGTTTGCATAACTGATATATATATACAATTTATACTTGTGTAATAATTATTGTATAAATTTAAGAATATTAATATATTAAATATGTATTTATTTATATTTATTTGTAATTTCATATAAAAATGTCAACACAGTTAAGGCTGGTGGTATGCGTATAGTACAACATAAAACTCCAACTATAGAACGTGCAGCTAAGGATGCTGAGGATTGCACTGGTTTAACGGTATATTCTTTAAATTTATTATCTTATCAATAATATTTGATATTATATTTTTGATATCTAGCAACCAGTGGCTGTAAATACAATGTCTGTTAGTGGTGCACCCGTTAAAGGTAATAGTGATTATACACCACAAGCTGCACAAGTTGCTCACTCACCAAAACCACCAGTACATGTGCCTCATAAGCCACAAATTAATATTCAACAACCACGTAAACAGTGAAGATATATATATTTTTTTGTCAAATTTGAAGAGCAATCACATTCCTTCAACAAAATAAATTGATACTTAATGTTGCTTAATGTCTTTCAAATTTCATAATTGTTAAAAATATTTGTAATATGTAATTTTATAGTTAAAGCATTTTGTTTATATACACATATTTATACATATATTTTATTTTCAAAGTATCTTATCAAGCATTTTAAATGACTCAAATCAATTTTGATTACTTTTCCATGTTTTATGACAATATTTTGTAAACAGTATACTTATATAATACAGAAAGAAGTTGTGTTTTCACATATCGTGTCAATATAAATTGTAACATTTCAAACTCTTCAGTTTATTCTCTTTTGTAATTTGAAATATTTTTGTACATTTTTGTCATTATAACGCATATTAAATATTTATAAATACAATATGAATTTAATTTTTATAATAAAGTTTGTTTAGAACAAGTAAAATTATGTGTTATATTTTAGTATATGAAATTAATATGTTATTCTTAAACCTCTATAAGTTAAGTTGGAGTTCCTACTCTTGAAAATTGAGTATACGTAAGTGAAGAGATAAAATTAGTTGTGTAAAAAAGCAAAAGCAATTAAAAGTTTGGATGACTAAGAACTTAACTCCATTATGGAAATTAGATTTAATAAATAAGTATTTGTTGGAAGTATTTCTATCTAAATGTTAGTAAGTTAAAGAATTTGCCATAAAACGTTAATATGTTCAAAGCAAAAATAATATATCAGAAAGCAATACGATACACAAATAATATGTATCAATATACTTTTGTATCAATATACTGTTAGTAACGTCTTACCCTATTAGACCCTTCTTAAACACCTTTTTTTTGAACCTTTTACCATTTTTACTAAAATTTAGAAAATATCTATAATTAATTAATTCAATTATTCTACAAATGGTTTGTGGTTTATAATAACATCTTTCTTTTTTAAATTTTTACAATTTTTCTAAAATTTAATAATTAAAAATAACTATAATTAATTAATTCAATTATTCTACAGCTGGTTTAGAGTTTGGTTTTAATAGCAAGTGAATTTGTTAATGAACTTTCACAGGGGATTGATAGGTATTTAGCAATATTCGAAACAGCTGTATGGCTAGCCAAAAATTCAATTTAAAATAAATAATACATTTTTGTTGTTGTTATTCGGTACTGTTTGAAACCTCTCTATTTAAATACAATATTAATATTAATATTAAGATAAATACTCACTACCGTCATAACCATGTTAAAATCAAATTGTATTTTTTGATAACATTGATATAGTCTGATACCAGATATCGTGTTTTTTTAATCAGTTATATACGGCCCTAAGGAACTTTAAAAAAAGCTATGATATTACAAAATTTTACAAGATAATAACGATGTGATTGGTGAATTGTTAAAATTTGTCAAACTGTATATGAATAATAAAGTTCAGAATTACGGGTGTTATGCTATATAACTATCAAGAATTAATAACTAAAGTCAATTTTTAAAATATATTTAATTTATTTCCAAATAACATTTTGAGAATGCTTGTAGTTCAATATAATTCCATTAGTATTTTATCTTTATTAATAATTTTTGGATTTATAAAAATGTTAAACGTTTACTAAAAAAAGTCTATTGCACAGATTACATTTAAGTTTAGGTATACATAATATTGAAAAATCAATTCAATGTCTAATGTTGAATAGAATAGAAATCAGTAGGGTGTTGACTGCCAACAAAATAGAGTTCCGAGGTAATGGCACATCGTCTTTGCATAATGAGATAGTATTATAGTATTATTATATTGAAGAGACATCAACAATGTTGAGTCTAATAAAGGTGCTTATATCTGGTATGTCTAAATATCTAAAGACAAAAAATCACAGTAAAAAAAAAAATTTTGATTATGTGGGGAAGAGATGATTTCTTACTTTAAGAAAAGAATTATGGGTGGGAAAGGCAGTTTTACAGGAACTTTTTTAATGCTCAGAGCTCATACGATATTGAAAATAAACTTCCGTCCATATATTTTCTTTCAACAATGAGTCATTTCCTGCATTAATGATATTAATTACGGGAACACCCGGTATATGCAATGTATCAAACAAGAAGATAAGTAACAATATAATAACTTAAAACAATAATATTTGTTATGAGAATGAAGACAAAAAATGATTAAATTTGTTTTAAATGCATATTAATCTTTACATACAATTTTCTATTTATAATTCTCATATGCATTTTTTTAAAAAAGTTAATTTAAATATACATTTCAATTATTTCCAAATTGCCTCACTGAGCTTCGGTGGTCCGGAGTGCAGGCTTCAAACCTGTAGTCGACTAGCGTCGAAGTGGTTCGATTCCACCTGTGGGGCGAATCACATTTTTCAAGTACTTATTTTTTTTAAATTAAAAGAAATAAATTAAATTAATGTGTAAAAGCAAATACCGTTTATATAAAAGGATTAATCATTAAAGTAAAGAATTAAAAATAATATATTGTAGGCTTTATTTGGAATCAACGTCTTCAATGTTCAATATAAAATGTAAATTAGCCGTGAAATAAACAGCTTTAATTAAACAACTCTATTATTATTATATTAAAAGAACTTGAGCTGTAATTTGATATGATAAAATTGTTTTGAAGTAGGTACAATATCAACTTTATACAACTTTAATATATGGAAAGGGCTCATAACATAACACACAATATATGAGAGTCAGCTTAATGGCTTTACTGCTATTAAAAAAACCCATAAAAAAGGGTATTTATTTATTTAAAACTTCATTTCTTCATACAATTTTTTATATCTGACGTTATTAATGTTACCAGCCTCGTTAAAGAGAAGATAACTAGCATAGCTAACTTTTGAAAGTTACCTAAATTAGTTATTGTCGACGGAATCCTGCCGAATTTCATTAAAATACTCTCTTTAATCGTCGTTTATATATAACTGTTAGGAACGTTTACAAAATAGAAACCCTTTTTGAGTGCTTATTAATTTCAATAGAACTATATTCAATTCACTAGACGATATCTTTAGTATTAGCATTGACCAGATATTTGCCTTTATAAATGCCTTTGGCTGGTTCTAGTTTGACATTCTCTCTACTACCCACCATCACGAAAAATTTGTGGATTCAAAACGGCTTTTTTTAGCTAATTGCGGAAGACTCATCCTCCCTCCACCACAACTAACTAACTAACTATATCATCTGTTATTATAGATTTTATTTACTTGACCATTATGTTAATAAAAATGTAGGTGTAAGCACTGACATTGACATATTGAAATTAATTTTCTAATATAAACAAAAGAAAACTTGAATGTTTTTAAAGTGTACCAATGTTGCTTAGTAACATATATAATATTATTTCAAAATAAAAATGAGAAAAAATTAATTTTTGTTTTCTAAACTGACGTATAGAATCTATAAAAATGGATGAGATAAACACTTTAGCAAAAATAACAGCTGAAGACCTAATTAAATTACGTGAAGATTGCATGCAAGTTGTACGTGACGGAGAGCTTTACGAATTGCGTAATTCTGCCAAATTGAGGGCTATCAACACAACAAAATCCTATGAGGAGTTCAAGTAAGAATATCATTACATATATCTAACAATATCGCTGCATTTTAGAAAGTAGCTAGCAAAACTAATATAATAATCGGTTTAACTAAATAATATAATCGGTGTAACATAGCTTCACTCCCGTAACGTAGGTAACAGTAAAATCTCCAGTAAAAATATGAGCAGGTTCTTTATTACACATACTTGTTTACCTATTTAGGGTTAACAGATTGGGTTGTATAGTGAATTTTACGAAACAAAAAGAGTGAGATATCTCTAAAATACACTGTTAAGCTGATTTTAGCTTTATTTTTAGTAAGTAATTTGTTATTGTTCAGTGTAGTTTTCTAATTAAATAGACTATATCAACATCGTCTTTAGTGAAAGATCAAATAATATTTCTTTTACAATATAAACACTTACCTATTGAACGTTGAAAATTTAGTAGGTGTGAAGAGTCATACTTATCCTCGAGGTTCATAAATTACTTCGGAATATAGAACCAGTTACTAGTCATTAGCATCTGAAATATCGAACTATGAATAGCACTGCAAAATTAGCTAGCATTATTAAATAAATGATAATAGGACTTATTCAATCGTAGGACAATAGGACAATCGTATTTATTGATATTTTTATAATAATTTGGCTGTACAAAATTTTTTTTTTTGTGATTAATGAATATAATTGAAGCAGTATTATTTTATAATGGTTTAATGGTTGGTTGTTTGCAGACTGCAAATTGCAGTGCGAGATCAGTATATATCTTTCTAGTGACCACAATTAGCGATTATTTGCCATTTTACTACCACATAACTAAATTTATTCTGTCGAATTTAGATAATTTAATAGATCCTTCTTCCTTACCGATTAATAGTCTTACAAACTGTTAAGAAAGTACTTCTCTAAAAAACTTATTTCTTCTGAAAAATGCTCAGAGCTGAGCGAGAATTCTAGTTACGGCACAGTAAAATATTTAATAGTTTCTGTTTCCTGTAAGTTTTAGCAACATCTACAATGAGTATTAAAAATATTGCGCAGTGAAAAGAGAGAACTGCAGTTAGTCTAGCAGGTTCAGGTGGTCGCTTTTAATGAATTTTCAAAATTAATCATTTTATATGAGGGCCATGTTAACCGGGAAGTAACATATGTCCGTAGTATATATTTGATTATAGGCAAGTTAAAGAAAGTAGAGTTACTCTTAACGATTTTCACGTGAACATAAACCGATATTCCTAGCGATATATCTAGTGAAGCATCAAGATAGGTCAAACTTACGCCCAGGAAATAATGGTTTGTACTAACACAGTTTTAATTTACATACCAATGACAGCATATAGTAATGACTGTATAACTAATATTAAATTGTAATTATTGTACGGAATATGCATTGATATATATTTTCTATTTTTTAAGGTACTTAATTTTTAGTAAAATCTTGAGACTTAACTATATATAGTATTTATTCTTGTTTTATCAATTTTTGGTTACTTTTTAATTAAGTTTCTTTATAATATATGCATGATTTCATTTTAAACCTTGTTATTCATTCTCAGGGACATTGTCGATGCCGCTCATTTGCAACCAATATCCAAAAAAGACAAAATGAATGCCAAAACTAAGTCACGAATCTGGAACTCAGCAGTACGAGATGAATGATACATATATGTAGGTTAGAACATCTATAGATATATATAGATCATATATATAGATCATACAATGTATGATTTGTAAGAATGAAATATAATTTGTTAATAAAGATATATTTTGTTTATTTGTAAGTAATATATTAGCTGTAGTAAAATAACAAGCGATATTTATAATAAAAATATATATTTACTGTTTCATAATAAATTATTGTGATTAAAATTTAATCATACAGTGAATACATTTTATTGGATATAAGAAAGATCAAGATATTGTTTTGAAGTATTATTATTATTTTAATATAATATTTGAAAGAATACTAATAAACCTCTCTCCTTAAGAAATAAAGCATATAAGTAAAATTAGGGGAAAAATTTTTTAGTGTACCTATTTAACATTTTCAATACGATGAAAAAAAGAATGCATTACAGAAGTATTGAAAGACTAGAATTAAATGTTTAGTTCTCTGTCTTTCCAGAAAGTCAAAATACAGATAACTACCTATGATAAGATAACCAGATAATATGATAACACTAACGTTATCTTATTACAGAGAGAGGTAAGACTATTAATAAGGGTCACAGAGACTGATATTTAAATAGTTGTAAACAGGTGCTAAAGAATTGCAATATAGCCAGAGGTTTTGTTTTAAACCTCTTGCATAATTCAAGCTACAAAAAAAATACTTAATGCTTGGGTATCTGATAAAGAAAATGAAAAAAATTTATGGAATCAAATATCTGCCTGTAAATCGTTGTTCAAGCAGCATAAAATCTATTTTTGAACAGGTTTTTACAAGATAACAGGTGATAAAAACTGAATCACTTATAAAACATGTTGACGTCGTAATCGGCAACTGCCTAGGTAAAAATATAATAAGGGTCTTTAGTGAGTAATTAATACGTTTAATTACTGCAAAAATGTAAGCAAAGGAACCCAAAATAGTTGTTGAGGAATGGTAAAGTTTTGATCTTTGCATTATTTGCCTTATAAATTCTTCTTAACTATAATTTCAGATATTAGGATTAGTAACCCTTTCCTCACTACACAAAAATAAGCATACGGTGTCCATATGCCCACTTCCAAAATAATTGTCTACGCTTATGATCGATTTTATTATCTTTACTTCTGAATCTCAGATAAAGATAAAGAAATAATCACACGGTGTGCACTCGAAGATGTCAATAGTAATTCCTCGACTTATCAATGCTTTCACTTTAAGCTTTATAAAATTATGAATTATTTTGAAAGATAATTGATATCAAAATGCTATTGGTTTCCTTTCTATTGATAATTAGTAAAAATACAATGACGATCAATTTTGGCTCTTAGTTATTTGAAAATGTTCAAATTATTGGTTTGTCTAACAGCAATTACGGGTGCATTATGTGCTACCATTCCAGGTGGTCGTATTGTTGGCGGTCAGGATACTACTATTAATGAATTTCCATGGCAAATTTCGTTACAACGTAGTGGTTCACATATTTGTGGTGGAAGTATTTATAACAACAACATTATTCTGACATCTGCACATTGCGTTGATAACGTACAAATTAATGTATTGAGAGTTCGTGTTGGATCTTCATATTGGAATTCTGGTGGTAGAGTGATTAGTGTCAGTTCTGTTTATATTCATGAAAACTACAATGCAAATACACTTGCAAACGATATAGCTTTAGTGAAATTAAGCTCTTCACTTAGTTACAGTGCTACAATACAAAGTATTGCGTTAGCTTCAGAAACTCCCGATGACGGTACACATGCCATGGTTACAGGCTGGGGAACGAAATCATATGGTTCAGCAGATATACCAAGTCGATTGCAATATACTGATGTTGAAGTAATTAGTCAAGCGACTTGTTCTTCTTCAGCTTATAGTTATGGAACTCAAATTAAAGATACCATGATTTGTACTGTAGCTTTGGGTGGAAATGCTTGTCACGGAGATTTTGGTGGTCCATTAGTGGCTGAGGATAAATTGATTGGCATTGTTTCTTGGAGTATCGGTTGCGCACAAATAAATTATCCTAGTGTTTATATCAATATTGCTGATTTTAAGAAATGGATTGAAAATGCTGTGGTATCCATTTAATGTTATTGAACGTACTATAATTAATAAATATTTGAATTATTATATTAATTTTCATAATAACGATTTGGTTTTAATGAAATGGGACTCTGAAGATTTTGTATTTAAAAAAAGGTACGATCATTCTTAGTTAGGTAGAGAGCATTTTGTGTTTGTGTCAGATATTTTAGAATCAATCAAAAGCATTCTAGTTTTAGTAGATTTCTGATTTGTAGAGCTAAAGCTCTGTTTGCTCATAATACTATTTAATTACCATTATGTGATATATGTGTGTATATAGAAAGTTTATGCTAAAAAATTACAATATTACATACAGAAGTTTTAATATGACAACACTCCAAGATAAATATAAGAAATCAGTTACATAAACAATACTTTTTTTATATTGTCTGGTCTTATGGTAGGATTTACGAGTTGTTGTGGAGATCTATATATGAGTTCCTTTCAAATACGAATACATTGATTAGATCATAGTTGCGTAAATGCAGTGTGAAAGAAAACGATTTTGCTTGGGAGTAAGAGTTGATTATGAATTGAGTTAAAATTGACCTCAAATTGGTGTGTGCATTAGGACATGAAAACAACTGGGCGATATTATGGGAGATACCGTTGCAGTTAGGGAATACATTGGGAACACACACATTTATGGGTAACAAGTAATTATTTAGTACATTGCTACATTCTGATCCTGTCCTGATACTTTTTTCTGCGTCTGTATATAGAGCTGTAAATCTACATTTATATTCAATTTCAGCGAAATACATATGTGTGCTTTGTTGATGCATTAAATTAGAATTCATTTAAAGCTTGAATTCTTTGACTTAGTCCTACTGTTCCCATTATTGGTAAATTGTTAAAAATGTGTTTATTACTTATTTTTATTTTGCCTTTATTAGAATTGAAACCTGGAATTATGTTTCTATAATTTCTTTTTTAATATGTTTCTCTAAGAGTAAAATCGATTTAGTCTATAGTTAAACTTAACATTTTAGCAATTCAAATTCATCTAGAAGTCAAAATGTTACGAATAATATATTATGATGAGAAAATCTATTTTTTATTAATTTATAAAATTATAGAAACCAATTTTTACTATTAAACAATTCAGTCCTTGTAATAATTGGGTAAAATGTAGGATGGTTATTGGGTCTTCAATTTGGAAATATTAAATTCTAATGTCAGCAACACATATGTCCAGTAGTTGATCGAATGATCGTCGGTATTCGTGGTAACAATAAATGTTGTGATCACCGATTATTTGATAGTCTGTGTAACATGGTCCAAAGAAACAAAGTACATAACCTTACTAACGTTATATACTAATAGGCAGAGTAGTTTTAAACCAACTTTTTCTATTATTATATCTAGTATTATATCTACTTTATCTTTTAGAATAAATATTAATATCAGCTAAATTGAAGTTTGAAATTGAATGTGGTGGTGTTATTGGGCGTTACTTTTTGAATCATGCCTCGGCAGACTGTTTGAATAATATTAAATATAAGATTGATCTTTAATGACAATAATATAAAAATAATTATTAAGTATTTCAAATTTATAATATTTAGTTGAGGTCTTAAGTAAAGAAAAAGCAAATATTTTAACTATTCTATTTTAATTTTTATTTTAATATGTTTATATATCAAATAATTTTAAGTATTTATTTTACTTAAGCTATTCGTTTAATTTTTATAACCACTTTAAATATTGGATGCAATCCAAAAAACATTAATCTCTGATTTTAAAGATGACATAATGACAGCAACCTGCTAAGTCTTTAACCTTTTATTATTTTATTGGATGCACGATATTCAAATGATATAAATTTTCAGTTAAACGATAAGAAAGATGTCATGAATTGTCTGTTTTGTTATAAGATTATTTCTACTCAGATATGTGGATTATTTTCTTAAGTGAAATTTGCACACAATTTTCATAATCTTCATCAGGTCTTTGCAATTTTCATGATTTTGGAAATTTTTCGTATAAAAATGTAAGATTTTTCGAATGTTAAATCATTAAGTATTCACTAAGTATTCTTATAACTTCGGAAGGACATTTGATTTCCGTCTTCAAAAATATATTCGAGTTCTTTTTTTTTTTAATAACAAATAAAATGTTTCGCATAATCACCGCACTGGTTTTAATAATCGGCATTAGTACAAATTCAATAGCGGGGAATCGATTACCACAACAACGAATTATCAATGGTCAATATATCAGCATAAGTAGGCATCCAAGCACTGTTTCCTTACGCATGAATGGCACACCCATTTGTGGCGGTTCGATTGTTACTAGTAGTATTGTACTGACAGCAGCCCATTGCTTTATAGATCCGACAGCATCCTATACTATACTTTACGGTTGTACATCACTAGATAACTGTGGAAATGTCAGAGATGTTTTAACATATTACATTCACCCGAATTTTGATCACAACACATATGACTATGATTTAGCATTGGTAATAACAAGTAAAATAATCGACTTTCACGCTTACTCACAGCCTATTGCAATTGGGAGGGTTCTACCATCCGATAATACAAATGTTACCATTTTTGGTTATGGCGCAACACAGGAAGGTGGTTCATCAAAACGTATCTTACAAGAAGCGACAATTCCAATCGTTAACAGTGCAACCTGCCAAGTTGGAAATTTTCCATATTTTATATCATCCAATATGTTTTGTACAGTAGGTAAAGATAAAGATGCATGCCAAGGTGATTCAGGTGGTCCAGTTATATATAATCGTACTCTGGTTGGTATTATATCTTGGGGTATTGGTTGTGGACGTTCTGATAGATATGGCGTAAATACGAATATACCGAAAATGTATAACTATATCAATGATCTTATAACACAATTATCATAAAATTTTTAACATTGGATTCATGGAAAATGGAGAATTTATTGTTACATCTTTATATCAAAACTTGTATTAAAATATTAAAATTTATTATTTATGATTATAATATATCATGTTTCAAAAGAAAAATAAAATTAAGTAATAATAATTATTGTAAAAAAATATAATTAAAAGTTTTTTTATGAAAAGTTATGGGATGTAAACCTTAATAACATTTTTCCAGTCCAGCTAAAATTACTTACGAAATTAAGATTTGGTAGTTTCCATTGGCATAAGCTAATTTACGCATGTGAAATAGCGTCTTTTTTCACATTTTACATATAAAACATGTGTAAATATGTCAAATTTTGATAATTTCCCTTGTGTTTTAAGGATTTTAAGAATTATATGTGATGATCTCATTTGTATGAAAGCTCTTTGTATGATCAATTATCCTCAAGTTACACTTACTAAGTAAGCAGTGGAAACACTATTAGTGGCATTATTGAGCAAAACTGCTTAAATGAGACAAGTGAAGATATGGTATAAGTTTTAGTAGTATTTTAAAATATTGTAGATATGTATGTACATTGTACAATATATATAAAATTACTATAAATCTGAAAGACATAAGTAATTCTAACGATCTCAGGTCTGCGGGCTCATTGTGTTGCTATATAAACGGATAACAATGATTATTGTCACTTATAATGAAGTTGTATATGTATTGTAATAAAAGATATATATTCTAAACTAAGAAAATATATTTTTAAGTTAAAAAAAATATCATTATAAAATTTCTAATATAAATCCCCTCTGTCATAAATAAAAAAGTGTGAATAAAAAAAAAGAGCAGAAAATAGAACAATTTCAATAAAAGTAATATTAGAATTACTTATATATAAAAATTGCTTACCAGATTATCATATGATAGAAATTAAACGAAAATATATTTCCCTTTATCAATCTTTTGTTTTAAATGAATTGTGAAATTATGGAGAAAATATTTTTTTGTCAATATTTTGTATTTAAAATGATAAGATATTTCTATATATATTACAGTAGATTTTGTGAATTCCCTAAACTCTAGCTTTCCCACTGAAAATCAATATCAATAATATACATATTTACTTCGCTTATAATCAATAGTTAAAATATAATTAAATATTTAAATAATTAATAATTATTAATCGAATCTTATCATTTAACGAATGTGAGCAATATAGTTCTTGAAATATAAACATTGTATATTCTTATTGATAAAATACAACAAATTTTTAAATTAAACTATAAAATGCTAACCCTAATAGGGTAAAAATATTAGTTCAGTTTTGTTTGCCTAATCGATATGTTTAAATTAGTAATATTGGTGTCCGCTATTGCGTGTGTTCTAGGCGGAATCGTACCGGAAGGTCTTTCACCACAGATCGATGGACGAATAGTTGGTGGCAATGAAGGCAATATCATTCAATATCCTTATTTAGTTTCTATACAAAGAAATGGTCAACACGTTTGTGGAGGTTCCATTTATAGCAATAATATTGTTGTGACTGCGGCTCATTGTTTGCAAAAAGTTTCGACGAATGATTTAAGAGTAAGAGCTGGTTCTTCGACATGGAATACAGGTGGCATATTATCTAATGTTTATTCATATCGTAATCATGAAGGTTATAATCCCACTACAATGGAAAATGATGTAGCAATTATACGTTTATCTAGCTATTTGACCTATAGTACTTCCATAAGCAGAATTAATTTATTAACTTGGTCTCCATCAAATGGAGCTTCAGCAGTTGTTGTCGGTTGGGGCACAACATCTTACAATGGTGGAATTTCTAATAATCTACGATATATTGATGTCAGTATCATTAGTACAGCACAGTGTGCTTCTAGTGCCTACAGATATGGTTCAAGTATAAAATCAGATATGATTTGTGCATTTGCTGCGGGTAAGGATGCTTGTCAAAAAGATTCTGGTGGTCCATTAGTTTCTGGTGGTTATTTGACTGGCATTGTTTCTTGGGGTTATGGATGCGCTTATGACGGATATCCAGGTGTTTACACAGATGTTGCACAAGTGCGTACTTGGATTGTTAATAATGCTAATAGCATTTAAAGCAATATTTGAAATTTGTAAATTTCTTGTTAATTTTGGAACTAAAAAATGGAATTTAATGCTTTGTAACATTGCAGTATTAATATGCTCTAAGAAAAATGATATATAAATAAAAAACTCGATTTTATTAGTTAATTCATAATATATTAAATGAATGTACATAAATAATAAAAATATTTACTTTGCAACAAAAGTAATAACTAAGTTATACAATACATGTTTTTCAATTATTCAAACCATGAGTATTAATCAAAATATAGCAATAAAGTTATAAAGAGATGTAGCCATCCTCATAAGTACATAGGCTAGGTTAGGATAGAGTGACACCCTTGTACACCAAAGCCAATTGAAGGCAAAAAATGGCCCGTTGTAATACTACAGATGACACACTATCCAAATGTTAAACCTAAGGTACTGCCTTAAAGAAAAAAGTCCAAAGCATTTGACACGTAAACTGTATCCTTTTGAGAAAAATCGAATTACCCCATTGAACTCAAAGGGGGCTTAGCTGATAAGTCTATAAACTTGGGTTTGGCTCTAATATTAAAGGATGGTAGTTGTCTCAGGTCAATTAAATAAGCGAACCCATAGATTTTGAGTCGTCTTTTACCCAGTGATGAGTACTGACACGAGGAGAAGCATTACAAGTAACATACACAAAGAGCAGAAGTTTTTACAAGAGTGAAGTCATTACAAATTTCATCAATTTCATTTTATAGCAAACGCTTTATCAATCGGAATACATAAAAATAAAGATTGCAGGGATTATTTGATTGGTTTGAGTTCACTTTCTGTGAATAATGTGTTTGTTATTTAATGCCGCATATATAACTTATATATATGTAACTTATTTAATTAAAAGTATTTTAGGTTTTTATATACTATAAAAAGTCTTACTTCAATAATTACAAAAAAAGTTGTTATAACATCGATTCCTGATAAAAAAAGTCGAAGAACTTAGAAACAATGACATTTTTGATATAGTAAAGGTTAGCTTAATCTGACTTACTCTAGACCTTTAAAGTGAACATAGACTATTTACATAAAATTAAAATTGGGATTATTGAATGTGGAAATAATAAGTTAATTTAGAAAAATCTGTATCTAGCATAATATAGAATAGACTGAAACCTTTACCGCTCTTCAGATAAACCAACAATAAGAAACTTAATTAAAATATATATGGAAAAGCATTTGATTTAGCTTTAATACCTTTCACATATATAAGATAGTTCTGTTACGAATGAACTATTTATTATGGCTCTCCGGTCTATTAACTGCCTGACAATATCTAAGCTTCCACACTAAGACCAAGCTACTTAAGCATAATTAACTACAACTGCATTTTATTAGTTTATTGAGTTATTATACCATTGTATGATATCTATATGTTAGTATGGAGTCAACCCATATCCTGTCCATTTCTTACAGCAATTATATATTTAATACTAAAATCACATGGTCTACATTTATATCACAGTTTCGTGATTTATAATTAAAAAAACCTCACAAAAATGGTTTATCTCTCAATAAAATAAGCATTTCGAAATTGAATGTTTCAAAAACGTCTATTATAAATAATTTAATAAAAGATGTACGAACTATTTTTATACATTAGAGAATAAAAATAAAATAAATATAATATAAAGATTAATATAAATGTTGAAGTTGAAGAGAAAATTATAGATGGTGCTTTAAGTATGGATATAATAGTAGGATTACCAATTCTAATTCAAACATAAATTTTGATGTCATAAAGAATATATACTGATAAGATATTTTTGTGTATTTCACACTAAATACTGTGAATACCCTAAGCGCTAGTTCTCCTATGTCAATCAAAATTAATACCTATGGTTTTACATACATATGTTATCTATATTCTTTTAATTATTAATTCTATTTCAATTTGAAAGGTAATCATCGAATCTTATCATATTAAGATACGACTACTGTGTTTTGTAAGTAAAAATATATTACTACTGATTAAATAAAATTAAATTTTAAACAACTATAAAATGTTGCCCCTGACAGAGTCAGTTTATTAGTACACTTTCGTTTGCTAAATCGATATGTTTAAATTAGTGATTTTGGTGTCCGCTATTGCGTGTGTTCTAGGCGGAGTCGTACCGGAAGGTCTTTCACCACAGATCGATGGACGAATAGTTGGTGGCAACGAAGGCAATATCAATCAATATCCTTATTTAGTTTCTATACAAAGAAATGGTCAACACGTTTGTGGAGGTTCCATTTATAGCAATAATATTGTTGTGACTGCGGCTCATTGTTTGCAAAAAGCTTCGACCAATGATTTAAGAGTAAGAGCTGGTTCTTCGACATGGTATACAGGTGGCACATTATCTTATGTTAGCTCATTTCGGAATCACGAAGGTTATAATCCCACTACAATGGAAAATGATGTAGCAATTATACGTTTACAGACTATTTTATCCTTGGGTTCTACTATGAATAGAATCAATTTAGCAACTTGGTCTCCATCAAATGGAGCTTCAGCAGTTGTTGTCGGTTGGGGCACAAAATCTTACAATGGTGAAATTTCTGATAATCTACGATATATTGATGTCAGTATCATTAGTACAGCACAGTGTGCATCTAGTGCCTACAGATATGGTTCAAGTATAAAATCAGATATGATTTGTGCATTTGCTGCGGGTAAAGATGCTTGTCAAAAAGATTCTGGTGGTCCATTAGTTTCTGGCAATGCTTTAACTGGTATTGTTTCTTGGGGTTATGGATGCGCTTATGACGGATATCCAGGTGTTTACACAGATGTTGCACAAGTGCGTGCTTGGATTGTTAATAATGCTAATAACATTTAAGGCAATATTTGAATTTGTAAATTTCTTGTTAATTTTAGAACTAAAAAATGGAAATAGATTTATTAATTCAATGCTATACAACAGTGCAGTATTAATACGCTCTAAGAAAAATGATATATAAATAAAAAAACTCGATTTTATTAGTTAAGACATAAGATATTAAATGAATGTACATAAATAATAAAAATATTCACTTTACACAAAAATAATAATACAGTTTATTAAGTTTAATTATTAATAATATGAGTATTTATCGAGATATAGCAAGAGTACCCAAAAATATCCCTAATGGAGTTTATAAGATATAGAGAATTATACCTCTCTATGGTCATACTGTAATTTCCGCTAAACCTTTAAATTTAAAATGCTGATTGTTGTATTAATGGACAGCAGTCAGTACAAGAACACGAAGATTAAGAATAAATCTAACAGATGATTTTAATGGAAAAAATTATTATAAGAGCTTTTAATGATATTTAAATGAAAACATGGGAATAAAAATTTTTCACTCTTTCTTTTTGCCATTAGAACCGGATGATAAATAAATAAGAGAGCATGTTAAGAATATGCTATTTATTATAATTATAAAATTATTAAAATAAATTTCACTAGTTTTAAGACAAATTTCACTACCTTTAGTAACATTATTGAGTTTTCAGTGATTTTAAGTATATTTTTACTATTTCTATCAGGGGTTGTATTTGCTCACTCATGAGCAGCTCAGGTTCATGAGCAAGAGCCAATTATTGCATGAGCCCAAAATTTGCTCATATTGAAGAGCTGCTCATCAGCATGAGCCTTCACTTTGTTATAAATTTCAGGATAATCTTGCTACTGTGGCAAAATATCTAGAGTGTTATAAATTAATCTCAAGTGTTATACACAAATCTCAAGTGTTATACAGATTTACCAATCGAAAATGAAAATTCCAATAAAAGTGAATCTCGATTAAAAAAGTTGCTCCAGATTTACCGAAAACGCCATAGGTATTTTGCAAGAGCAGCAAGATTACTTTGAAATTAACAGATGTTTTATATGACTTGCTAGAGAAAATGTGGTTTGATTCGGCATGCATATGTATTAATGAAATATATAATATATGTAAATGTCTGCTACTTACCATTACAAAAATATAAGATTACTCTAAAAACGTTTAATTACAAAAATTTGACATATCAAGAGTTAATTTCGAAAGAATTCAGAGTTATAGTTTTCATTTAATGTAAAAAATTTTTTACTCGTTGTTAAGCATGTTAAGCATAATAAATTATTTTGAAAGAGTTTGTCTGAATTCAAAGACAGTAATAATATTTAAATACTTTTTAAGGAAAACGATTAAATAAATTGGAACACTAGAAAGAAAAAAGAATTAACTTTACCGAATCGAATATACAATAATTGCATACTATTTTATTTTAATGGTTTATTAGGTTATCACAACACTATACTGGGATATACTTATTTCTATACTTATTTCTATACTTATTTCTATACTTATTTCTATACTTATTCCTATACTTATTTCTTATAGTATTAAACATAAAAGTTTCATATTAATATTTCTATAAAATTAAAATAAAATAAATATAATATAACGCATGTCTGCGCATACATAAATGATGCTAGACTGTGGTATCAAAAAGGACTATTTGTTGATCAGTAGAGAACTTGGGCTCAAGACGGTTACTCCAACTTAACCTAACCTGTATAGATTACCAGTTATTATTTAAATATAAATTTTGGAATCATGAGAAAATTATAGATGGTGCTATACTTGTATATATGATACAGTAGTAACAAGTTTATTTATAATATTAATTTTGAAGTCATAGAAACTATAATAGATGGTGTTTCAATTATACCGATAAGATATTTCTGTGAATTTTACACCAAATACTGTGAATACCCTAAGCGCCAGTTGTCCTATGCCAATTGAAATTTATACCTGTTTTTTTTACATACATATCTATAATCTTGCAACTAATAATTCAATTATGATCTGAAAGTGTATTATCGAATCTTATCATTTTATGGGTACTAATATTTTTATTGATATCATAAAAATAGATTTTAAAATCAACTATAAAATGCTATCTCTGATAGGGTCAGTTTATTAGTACACTTTCGTTTGCTTAATCGATATGTTTAAATTAGTAATTTTGGTGTCTGCAGTTACATGTGCTCTTGCCGCAGTTGTTCCGGAAAGTCTTTCACCACATATCGATGGACGAATAGTTGGTGGCAATGAAGGGAATATCAATCAATTTCCTTATTTAGTTTCTATACAAAGAAATGGTCAACATATTTGTGGAGGTTCCATTTATAACAATTATATTATTGTGACCGCGGCTCATTGTGTGCAAAAAATACCAACCAATGAGTTAAAAGTTAGAGCTGGTTCTTCGACATGGAATTCAGGTGGTACATTATTGAATGTTGCTGCATATCGAAGTCATGAAGGCTATAATCCCACTACAATGGAGAATGATGTAGCAGTTGTACGTTTACTAACTATGTTGTATTATTCTACTAGCATAGGCACAATTAATTTAGGAACTTGGCTTCCTTCAAATGGAGCTTCAGCAGTTGTTGTCGGTTGGGGTACAAAAACTTATAATGGTGTCATTTCCGATACTCTACAATATATTAATGTTAATATCATAAGTGCAGCACAATGTGCTTCAAGTACCTATAGATATGGTTCAAGTATAAAATCAGATATGATTTGTGCATCTGCTACAGGCAAGGATGCTTGTCAAAAGGATTCTGGTGGTCCATTAGTTTCTGGTGGTTATTTGACTGGCATTGTTTCTTGGGGTTATGGATGTGCTTATGAAGGTTATCCTGGTGTGTACGTGGAAGTATCACTATTTCGTGAATGGATTATTAATAATGCTAAAACTGTTTAATACTGTTTTTATATTGTTTTTAAAAACCAAAATAAATATTTATTAATAATGTAAAAGTATTTGTATGCTTTGAACACAAAATGTTAATATAGAATTAAATTTTTCTACTTAACATGAGATACATGTATATAGAGAAAGCTCCATAAATAAAAGTAATATTTACAATATAACAACAAATGATTTTGTTTAAAACATGGAAATAAAGGAGGATAGAGGTTTTTTAGTATACAACTAATAACTGATATAAAACGAATGTGGTTAAATATAGAAGAAGATTAGCAATTGCTTTGGTAATATATTGAATGTAGAAGCTTTGTGTTATCAATGAAAAGAATTGGAACAAAAATTAAATTTGCTAAATAAACATTTAAAACTAATGATGAACGAAACAAAAAAATCTTGTAATAACTTTAAGACAAAAAAATAGCATGACCTAAAATTAAAATAACAACGATGATGATAATGAATTCTTTTAATTACTTCGGGAATATAGGGTCTATAGAAAATATTTTTATTTCAGTTCGTTTATCATAAAGGCTTTGATTTTATTTTAAGATGTTCTTGTATCCGATATTTGTTTCTGAAATCCGCGTCTCTATATAATATTATACGCTTTGATCACCTATTGTACCGTGAGTTCCAGTTTAATGAGTGATAGTATAGTGTATTGCGTCTCTATATAATACTGTACGCTTTTATCACCTATTGTACCGTGAGTTCCAGTTCAATGAGTGACAATATAGTGTATTGTTGCTTTCCAATGTAGTATACCTATGTCATATTTGTTTCAATTTTTTTGTCTTAATATCACTTACAATATGTCAAATTCCGTACCTACACTACACATCGTGATATTTAGCTAGCAAATATTTTATTTATTTTCAAAATAATATGCATCTTATTACTCTTAAGTTAGGTTGTCAGGTATATTTTATAAGACTGGTACGACATCAGATGTTTTCATATTTTCAATCATATAGAAATAATGTATGATGTATATAGAATTTTGGTGACTCTGATACAAATATATTTATAACAATAAAGAGTTCAACTAATGATTTGATAATGACTAATCATAGTTATTGCTCTTAAGTTAGGTTGTTAGCCATATATCATAAGACTGTTAGGACATCAGGTACTTTTATATTTTCATTAATATAGAAATAATAAATGAAGTATATAGATTTTTGTTGACTCTGATACAAATATATTTATAACAATAAAGGCATTAACTATTGACGCTAAGTTACATTTATTTATCAAATACATTTATCAAATATTAGGGTTTGAGAAACACTAGAAAAACGTATTGAGTATTTCCTATATAGTTTGATATTTAAATTAATTTTAATATGCATTAAATATTACAATTTTTAGTTGTACAAGTAGCGTTATAGACTTCACGCATATACCTTTTTAAAATCAACTACTGACATATTGTATGGAAACACTCTGATAATGCCTATATTTATGGAATAGCATTAGAATGTAACAATTTGTTAATAAAGTTAATCAGAATGGTAGGATAATCAGAAAAAAGAATATGACTATATGGATATCATATTGTGTGAGTTCTTATGGGGACAATACTTATGAAGAGTTCGTGAGCTTACCACTATTTTGCATTATAATTATAGTATATGTTACATTTTTAAACAATAGAAAAGCAGTGGACAGTGGACTGTCATTCCATAAATTGTTAGTTTTTTTTCGAGGTTTCAGAAAAATAAATTTAAGGTTTAAACTTAGATGATCACACTAATCAATCATGATTAATAACTTCGATGCATGATATAGAAGTCATCAAGTTTAAATTAAAATTTCTTATAAACTATACTTAAATGCTTGGGGAGCTTCACATTTTCAGCAGTAGAAAATATAATACAAATAGAAAATATAGCTTACGAGTACCTTCCTTTAAAGGTGTAAATAACACTTAAATATACATTGTGACAAATAATTTCTTATAAATAATATTAAAAACATTCAAATAAATCAATCAATATAATTACATTATTAGTTCTTTAATTAAAATAAATTGTGAAATAAGAAAAAAATTATAGATTTCCTTTTATTTCAATTATATTGATAAGATATTTCCATTTTTTTTATATCAAATGATGTGAATACCCCAAACGCTAGTAGCCCTATGTAAATCAATATTAATACCGGTAATTTTACATATCAACAATCTTTTAATTAGTAATTCAATTATGCTGTACAATAAAATGTTCGAATCTTATCTTTCAACGGATATGAATGTTTCTACTTCGTAAACTGAAATTTCCCTATTTTCCCTGATTAAATAAAATTAATTTTTAAATTTAACTATAAAATGACGCCCCTGATAGCGCCAATTTATTAGTTTACTTAATCGATATGTTTAAATTAGTAATTTTGGTGTCCGCAGTTACATGTGCTCTTGCCGCAGTTGTACCAGAAGATCCTTCACCGCAGATTGAAGGTCGAATAGTTGGTGGCAATGAAGGCAATATCAATCAATATCCTTACCTAGTCTCAGTACAACGAAATGGTACACATATTTGTGGAGGTTCCATTTATAGTAATAAAATTATTGTGACCGCGGCTCATTGCTTGCAAAATGTTTGGACGAATGAATTAAGAGTAAGAGCTGGCTCTTCGACATGGAATTCTGGTGGTATATTATATTATGTTTATTCATATCGTAATCATGAAGACTATAATCCCACTACAATGGAGAATGATGTCGCAGTTATACTATTATCAACTATTTTGAGTTTTAGTACTACAATAGCAAAAATTGACTTAACGTATTATGGTCCTTTAAATGGAGCTACCGGTACTGTTATTGGTTGGGGCACAACGTCGTTTAATGGTTCTATTTCTGATCATCTACGATACACAGCGGTTACTATAATAAGTCCAACGCAGTGTGGTTCTAGTGCTTACAGATATGGTTCAACTATAAAATCAAACATGTTTTGTGCATCTGCCGAAGGTAAGGATGCTTGCCAAAAGGATTCTGGTGGCCCTTTAATTTATAACAACTTTTTGATTGGTATTGTTTCTTGGGGCTACGGATGCGCTTATTCCGGTTATCCTGGTGTATATACTGATGTGGCACAGATGCGTAGTTGGATTATGAAAAATGCTATTACTGTATAATTGTTAATTTTTTGAAGTGGTTAATTGATCGATTAATGTCAATTGATATTATAACATAGGTGCAGTATAAATACAGTATTATCAAACATTAAATATTTTATATTAAGCATTAATAAATAAAAACGAAGTATATAAACAATAAAATTATTTCTTTTATAATTAATATTCTGAGTAATAAAAGAAATGAATACAAAGAATTATAATACATAGTAATTTATTGGAACTGTATTATAAGACAGACTTTTATAGATTTGTTTGGGTTAGGTTTGGAACTGTATTATAAAACGGATTTTTATAGATTCATTTGGGTTAGATCTGTTGGTCCCTAGTGATACCAAATAGAGTTAAAGTTTTGGTTGATTTCGTAGAGAAGCCCTTTTATCTACTAGACTTATTTTGAATAGAATTTTTCAAGTTCACCAAAGTAGACTTTTAAGCCCAGACTCTATGTGCCTTAGTTCTAGTTTATACGTATCGTACCAATTTGCGATTATCGTATCGTGCGATTATCTTAAATATGCGATTATACCTAATCAAAAGTATATTTACCCTGAGATGTCAAGTTATAAGCTTATTATCACTGTTAACTACTGAAACAAATCTATCTTAAATATTAAGTTGAGATCGTCTTCTGTTTCTATACCTTTAAATAAATTATTTTAAACTGTGAAAGTCGAATGAATTTTGATATAATTCTTAAAATATTAAAAATTAATAATCTATAAAAAAAATCTATTCTTTTAGATAATCACCACAATTAAATTTAAAAAAAAAATTTTATTTGATACGTATACGCTCATAAATTTCTAATCATATTTTGGTAGACCCTGGTTTTAAACGTCATTTCTGTTATCTAACATTCAAAGGCTTTATATGGTAATCACTTATAATCAAAAATACTAACTTATTTATCAAATGGGAAATGAGATTTATTTTATACATTTTAAAATCAATCAAAATTCATTGATAATAGAGTATTTGTATAGTATTTTTAAATACTTTATAATAAAAAATGTTTATTATTTTTTATTTACATAGATAGATAATTTTGAAATAGATGGAATATTTGATTTTTAATTCATATAATGATTATAATTATATATTCTTGTATTTTGGTTTGTTAACTTATTTTTCTTTCAGGTTTTCTTTTTTATTTATAATGATTAATACGATTCGTAGGTCCTAGATTGAAAACGTGGAGAAAATAATGATCCCATAAACAATTCCCGTATATAGTATCCTGTATATGGTATATATATATAGTATACTATTGTATACTATACTATACAATAGTATAGTAGTGTAGTATATTTTACTATACTACAAAATATCTTCTAAGTTCAATATCTTACTATGATAGTTATATATACTTCAATTGAATTGATAAGATATTCAATAGTGATGAATAGTTCTGTTTAAAATCATGTTTAAAATATTTTTCAACTTCTTATAGTCCTTTGCTATCAACAGAGAGTGATAATGTATTAATGTATATTATTCATTACAGGGGACATTGATCGATCTGCCGTTGTATTTTTTCAATTAAAACGTTTATCTAATCTATCCATCGAGTAAAGGAACTTTATACTTCTGCTTATGTTACATTTTATGACCAATAGTTCCTGACTTCCTGATAGCGTCGTCACGTAATTAAATTAAGTCGAGTATGCATTGAAGATTGTTTTTATAAAACTGGTTTTTATGTTTAGTTCCTTAAATAAAAAATAAATAAATGTTGGGTCTGTAAGCAGTTTATAGAATTTTTATTGGTGCTTGATATATTCGCTATTAAATTACTTCGATCTTTTAATTGCCATAACATATATTTAATATAAAATACGTGAAATTAACTATAAGAAATATTATAGTATAGTAAACGTTCATATTGATTTTAAGAATTATTTTTTGCGATCAGTGCAGAGCAG